CATTTTGAGAAGTGGTCTATAGGTTCACTAGACTGCTCAAGGGGCCCAAGACTCAAATGTCAGGAGACATTAATAATAGCCCTGACTGACACCTCCCAAGATGTTCCCAGGCCCTGTGCCAAGCTCCTCTGCTTGTGATCTCTCTCCTGAGCCTGAGAGCTCTGGGAGGTAGGTGGTCTTACACCCATTTCACAGATGCCTGCATTGAGTTCAGGGAGATGCTCAGTGCCTTATGCTAGGAAGTGACAGAGCCTGACTGGAACCTTGGTGATCTCTTACTCCATCCAGAGCCCTCATTCTTAACCAGTATGTGATGTGTGTTTGCTGGTGTTACATGAAGAGTTGTGAAAATTGCTAGGTGAGAGTCATCCCTGGTTTGCACATGTCTGAGTTGTGGTAGAACCTGTTGAGCCTAGATTGGCCTCACTGGTCACGTAAAAGCACAGAAATAGATCGTGGGAAACTGTCCTGGGTGGGGAGGGTCATCGGCGTCACTGGGAGTGTGAAATGCTGTTCCCTGCCTCCTTCCAAAATGCCTGAAGGCTGGGATAGGGACAAGAGCCTTCTCCCATTCTCCAGAGGGAGAGAGCGAGGTCATTGGACATTTAAGGAAGCTGCTGCCGCCCCAGCCTGGTGAAGGAACTGAAGGTGGGGTGTCGGTGGAAGGCACTGCTCTCTGGGGTGGGCTGCCCGCCCATTGCTCTCCAGGGGGCAGTTATCCAGGGCTGGCTCTTGCTGAGCACCCCGCATGCCCTGCATGGGAGCCTGGCTGCACAGGTGGTGTTCAGAGGGAGTCTGCTTGGGCTGGGAGTTAAGACCCCTGGGTGTGAGCCTCTGCCACTTAGCTGATGGGATCTGCTGCACTGCAGCCTCACAGGCTTGGTTTCCTGGCTGTGTATGAGGAGGCTGAAGCAGATGCTTTCAAAGGCCCCTTTCACCCTCCCCCCTCTTTTATTAGGGTAACTCCTCAGATCCAGGGCTTATCTGCAGGGACCTCATTTTTGTCCTGTAGACACTAGACACTCCAAACAGCTTTTAGTGCACGTGTTTCTCATACTGTATGTACCTCGGGTCCCCTCCTCCCCCCTTAGCCTTCTGGGGCTCCTGGAAGCAGGGTCTTTATAGAGCCAAGTGTTATGCTTCTTAGGTCTGTGGGCGGGTCCACACACTGTACCACCCTTTTTCTTCCAGGGCTGCTTCAGGGCAACTAAAATAACCATTTCCTTGCTACCAGCATCTCATCACAGGGATTCTGGAACTGATGACGTCTCCAAGAGAGGGTTTGAAGCTGGGGCACGGCTTGCAGTGTGTTTAGAGCAGGAGGAAGGTTTGACCTTGCTCTTGGGCAGCTGGATCTGTTTTTTATTCTGAACCCTTGTTCTCAAAGGTGCTGCTAAAACCTGCTCCTTATGCCCCAGAGCTCCTTGTCTGCTTGGGAGTTGTGTCTCTTTGCCTGGACATTTTCTTTTTGTTTAAGGTTGTGCTGGCAGTTGTCTTAGAGGACTGAAGGAGTGTGGGAGCCCCCCCAGGGCTGATGGGGTTCACAGAAAGGTGGGAGGTTCAGTGGGTGGGAAGGAAGTGTCATTAAGCTGTTGCCTCTCCCCAGTTGTGCCCAGAGTTGGGCAGGGCACCCCTTCTGAGCCAGAGCCTGGTATGTGTGGGGTAGTCCACTCCGATAGCCAGAAACACACCGTCATGCCCTCCAGCTGCCTGGGCTGGGGCGTCTCTGTGGAGGCAGTGTCACTCAGTCCTGCAGAAGGCCTGCAGACAGGGTGGTACGTTGCTGCTTGTTCCTAAGGCTGCCACTCTTCGGAGGGTCGGTCAGGGGCTCGTGGAAGGAGTAGAGTGTGGAGCACGTAACTGTTGCGGAGGTCTTCCCTCTGCAGGAGGTTGCTGCTTTGGCTCTCTGGCCTCTCTGTTCCCTACAGCTCTCTCTCAGGAGGAGGCAGGGGATATGGCGAGAACCCAGGGTCCTGCCCTCCTGTGTGATCCCTCCCCTGGCCTTTCAGGGGTTCTCTGCTCTCCAGAGTTGCCAACCTGTGTCCGTAGGGAACAGAGTGTCCCTCCTGCTCTTTCCTTCCCAGGGGTCTTTCCATTTCTCCTGGTCCACCAGGAGGTGGTTGAGAGCCTCCTCCTATTTTGACACACCCATTTCTCCTTTAGGGTGCTTAGTTTGGATAGCAGCCACTGCCACCTGCTCTGTCCATGCCAAGCTGGCAGAGGGCACAGATCCTTGAGGGGGTGTAAGGCCAGCCAGGCTCCAGGTTTTGTGCCTAGCAGACTTATATTGGTGGGCTCTGTGCCGCCGCCCGACCCTTGCCCTGTCTCTAGCTGCGTAGCGGTAGCCCCTTCCATCTTGAATGGAGCCATATCACTACCTGGAAGACCCCTGGGGTGCTGTATCGTGTCCAGGCCTCACAGGGCCTGCAGATTAGTACTCTCCAGTTACCTGTGTTTCCTGCTTGTGTGGGAACAAGGCTGTGTGGTGGAGCTTACTGGCCCTGCCACCTGCATACCAATGGGGCTACGGCTCCCACTGCGGCCAGGGGCCTAGCATCTCTAATTGTGGTGGTGGCTGTGCAAGAGCCCTGGTGGGAGAGTCCCCTCGCCTGCCAGCACCCTCTCTGCAGGACTCCTGCAAGGGAAGGCAGCACTGTTGGCAGCAGTTGCAGCCTGAGCAGGGTTATCTGCTGGGAGCCAGGAGTACTTGGACCCCTGCCCTTCCCTGGGCAGCCGGGCTGGCATCTGGCTCCCATGGCCTCGGCACTGCTGGGAGCAGCAGGTTGAAGCCCATCTACCTCTTGTATGAGTGATCAGAGTGCCACGGGCCAAGCCAGTCTTGCCTATGAACAGATAACTCTCCAGCCAACTTGGGACCTTGTTGAGCATTTCCAGGGCAGGGGAGACCGGAGGCTGCCTACTGGTTCTTTGCTGCCACCCTGTTTTTGCACCCTGATGGGGCTGCCAACCTCCAGAAAGGCCCTCTGCAGTTTCCAAGGGCCCTTCCTCCTGGTGGTGGGGCAGGACATGGGGTGGGAGGGAAAGTGAAAGAGAGAGAGAGAGAGAGAGTGTGTGTGTGTGTGTGTGTGTGTGTGTGTGTGTATGAAACCCCACCCTCCTGGCCACATCTGGCCACTCCTGCAGATGTGGCTTTGGCCTCGTGGCCGCAGAGTCGTCAGTGTGGCTGGCGGGCAAACCACAGAGGAATGTGCCTAGCAGTGCTTGGGGGAGAGGGGGCTGGAGGGGACTGAAAGGGATTCTGCTCAGGCTTTACCTTCCCACGCCCACCTCCAGTGGGTCCTTGAGGAGGCCTGTTCGGGCGTGAAGGGAGCATGGCCTTGGCCTGCAGCAGGCCTTGCCTCTGCCTCGGTGGCCCTCATTCATTGCAGGGTCCCCGGAGAGGTCCAAGCACAGGGTGTGGGAGCCTTGCTTAGCTCAGCCCTTGGTCCTCTTCCCAGCTTCCTCTCCAGTCCAGATTGAGAGGTGGCGGTGGGGGCCTGGGCAGAGGCCTGATCACAAGGGCAGGAGACATGGGCAGCCATTGGGATATTGGGATCCTTCCTTCTCCAGGCTGGGACTAGAGTGGGCCACCTTGCCACAGGAAAGGCTTTTTGGCTCCCTGTGGCCTCCATGGGCTAGAGTGAGGAAAGTTGAGGGCTTTCTTTGGAGAAAGAAAAGAAGTAAGTCACATTGGCCGTTCCTCTTACTTCCTGCTTCCCAGGCAGTGAGTAGCCTGCCTTCCCCTTCCTGTTGGTCAGGAGGCTTTGTGGGGTGTGACCTGGGCTTAGGGCTCCCTGCTGGGGTGGTGTTTGCCCAGTTGCCCTGGTAACCACATAGCAGTGGTAGGGAGTGACATTCAGTTACCAGAGAACACTGTAGGGAATCAAGAAGTTGAGACCCATCTTTCCCATAAACTCATGGGAATATTTTGCCACAGCCTGGGGCCCCTCAGCCCATTGTTCACATGGTGGCCTGGATACAAGGTCTGGGGGCCCAGCAGCCCCTTCACTTCTCTCCTCTTCCCCAGCAGGTTCTCCCTGGGACTGGAGTTCTGAGACCTCTGCCTCGGCTGCAGCCTCCCCCCACCCTCCCTTTACCCTTCTTCCTGTCTGATTCCCTTTCCTTTCCTGTCTCCTCCTCCCACCTCCTCCCGGGCCTGCCCGCCCATTCTCTTCATCCCCCCTCCCCCCAGGCACAGCTGCTGTTTGGCTCACTCTATATATAGCGGCATTTTCAGGGTAATTACAATAAAACTGTTGAAAGGAGATAATCCGGCAAAGGAAGCGAGTCTGACTCCCAGCCCCCTCCTGTCCCTGGTGTGGTGTAGCCCTGCACCCCCTTTCCCTGAGGCCTCCTGGCGCCAACTCACCCTCCATTACCATAGCCTTTCCCAGCTGGGTGTGGGACAGAGAAAAGGGGAGAGGTTAGGGGTGTCCAGGGGATCCCCACAGGCCTCTCCTGGATTTACAGAGGGCCCTGGCTGCCAGCCCCATTAGTACTAGAACTAACATCTGTACCTCAGTTTCTCCTCTAGTATAGGCTTCTTGGTGCGGGGAGTGGGGTGCTGAGGTAGGGGAGGAGGCACAGACAATGTAGTGGTTTGAAGCAAGGATTTGGATTTACATGCTATAATCAGTCACTGGGCTGTAGTCTTTGGTTATGTTACTTAAACCTCTCTAACCCTCAGTTTCCTCATGAGTAAAGTAATTCACATAAAATGCCCAGTGACATTAACTGCCAATGACAGTATCATGTGTTGAGCGCCCACAATGTCCCAGGTACCGGGCTCATTGCTTATGCATATTTCCTTACTGAAGTTCATGGCTTTGGCCTCATTAGTTAAGGTGAAAGGCTGGATCCATGATCCACAGAGCAGAGAGATTTGACCCCTCTCCCTCCCCCCACATTCTCTTGGAGTCCCTGGTCCTGTCTGGGAGCTTTCTGGGCCCCAGGCCTGGCTGCCGGGGCCTCTGATCCCTTCCTGTCTCCTCTCCCTGCAGTGGATGTGAAGCCGGTGCTGCCAGGAGCCATGCCCAGCTCCCTTGGCGGCGGGGGTGGAGGCAGCCCCAGCCCCATGGAGCTGCGGGGGGCTCTGGCAGGCCCTGTGGACCCCGCACTGCGAGAACAGCAACTGCAGCAGGAGCTCCTGGCGCTCAAACAGCAGCAGCAGCTGCAGAAGCAGCTCCTGTTTGCTGAGTTCCAGAAGCAGCATGACCACCTGACGCGGCAGCACGAGGTCCAGCTGCAGAAGCACCTCAAGGCGAGTGAGGGCCGGGGAGGGCTCCAGGACCCCCGCCCCCGCCAGCCTGGCTCACCCACCTCCCTGCCCCCTGTGCCTCTGCAGCAGCAGCAGGAGATGCTGGCAGCCAAGAGGCAGCAGGAGCTGGAGCAGCAGCGGCAGCGGGAGCAGCAGCGGCAGGAGGAGCTGGAGAAGCAGCGGCTGGAGCAGCAGCTGCTCATCCTGCGGAACAAGGAGAAGAGCAAAGAAAGTAAGGCCTGGGGCCTCCTGGCGCCAGCCGGGATGCCTGGCCCCCTTTCCCCAAGCACCCAGGTCAGCTGTGTCCTGTCCCGCAGGTGCCATCGCCAGCACTGAGGTGAAGCTGAGGCTCCAGGAGTTCCTCTTGTCGAAGTCAAAGGAGCCCACGTCGGGCGGCCTCAACCATTCCCTCCCACAGCATCCCAAATGCTGGTATGGCCCTAGGCAGGCATGGGTCACAGAGGCCCCTGCCCAGGGGTGGCCTGGCTGCAGGATGGCAAGGGGCTCCTGGCCCGGTGCAGGCCGTGTGATCTCTCCTAGGAGATGAGACATCCACCCCTGGTTTCTCTCCTCACTTCCTGCCCTGGAACTCGTTTCCTGTCCCTATGTGCAGTGGTCACTACATAAATGTAGAGTACTGGGTGGCAGGTCCAGCTGGCTGGGTGCTAACCTAGATATTTCTCCATCCCCATCCCCACACCCCATCCCCCAGGGGAGCCCACCATGCTTCTTTGGACCAGAGTTCCCCACCCCAGAGCGGCCCCCCTGGGACGCCACCCTCCTACAAACTGCCTTTGCTTGGGCCCTATGACAGCCGTGATGACTTCCCCCTCCGCAAAACAGGTGAGTGCCCAACCTGGCTTCCCAGCATGTGGCTCCTTGGAGGTAGAGGTGGGAATGTGGAGGGGCCAGGCCGCAGGTGTAAGCCTGTTTGTGTGGCTGTATCTGAGCCCTGGCTACCTTCTCTCCAGCCTCTGAACCCAACTTGAAAGTGCGTTCGAGGCTAAAGCAGAAGGTGGCTGAGCGGAGAAGCAGTCCCCTCCTACGTCGCAAAGATGGGACTGTCATTAGCACCTTTAAGAAGAGAGCTGTTGAGCTCACAGGTGCTGGGCCAGGGGGTAAGTGCTCCTTTCCTGTCCCTATTCTAAGGGCCTAGGAGTGAGGGGGTGGCTCCAAGCAGGCCCTGGTGACAGCCACTTCTTCCATAGTACCCTCGGTGTGTAACAGCGCTCCAGGCTCCGGGCCCAGCTCTCCCAACAGCTCCCACAGCACGATTGCTGAGAACGGCTTTACTGGCTCAGTCCCCAACATCCCTACTGAGGTACAGGCTGCAGAGTGCTGGTAGGCGGGCCAGGCTACTCCCTTTCCCTGGGAAGGAGGAGGGCAGTCATCTCAGAGTGCCCAGCTGGGTCCTGTGTGGACCGGCTGGAAGAACCCGTTGGTCTAAAGTGGGATTTGTCCCTTGGGTCTCCAAAGGGCTCTGAAATCTCAGTTCCCGCCTTCCCAAGGGGGGGGGGGGCAGGTGTGGGGAGCAGGTCGCTGTTCAGAGTCTTGGTCCCAGGTGGCCCCTCTTTGCCTGCTCTCATCACTGTCTCTCCTGACTGCTCTTCAGATGCTCCCCCAGCACCGGGCCCTCCCTCTGGACAGCTCCCCTAACCAGTTCAGCCTCTACACATCTCCCTCTCTGCCCAACATCTCCCTAGGGCTGCAGGCCACAGTCACTGTCACCAACTCGCACCTCACTGTAAGTATGGGACACGGGCTCCTTGGTCCTAGATGCCCCTAGCTGGGGCTTTTGTCCTCCCAAGGCCCTGAGGGAGATCAGATGGCCCTTCCCAGAGCTGGGGGGGTGAGCAGCAGGACTGGGGCAGAATAACCCTCTCCCTCATCTCCATCTCTTTTCCCCACCCCCAGGCCTCCCCAAAGCTGTCGACGCAGCAGGAGGCCGAGAGGCAGGCTCTCCAGTCCCTGCGGCAGGGTGGCACACTGACGGGCAAGTTCATGAGCACATCCTCCATCCCTGGCTGCCTGCTGGGCGTGGCGCTGGAGGGTGACACCAGCCCCCATGGGCATGCGTCTCTGCTGCAGCACGTGCTGCTGCTGGAGCAGGCCCGGCAGCAGAGCACTCTCATCGCGGGTGAGTGGGCGTTAGGCTTAAGGCAGGACCAGCTTTCAGGGAGCAGTAGCCAGGGGTACTCCCCCACCCTGTCACAACTCTCCTCCCTTCAATGGCAGCACTGATACCCTCCACATTCTACAGACATTACTGAGTACCTGTAGCCTGCCAGGCCCTGTTTTCCACAACATCTGCTGTGATTAAGTTCATATTCCAGAGCAGCACTGTGTAGTAGAAATAGAACACAAGCCCAGTATGTAATATAAAGTTTTCTAGGAGCCACATTAAAAAATGTGAAAAGAAACAGGTAGAATTGCTTCTTCTTGGCCTTTTGGCTAAAAAAAAAAAGTAAAGTTAATTTTAATACCATTTAACTCAATATGAGAATATTGTCATTTCAATATATGACCAATGCAAAGAGTTGTCAATGAGATATTTTACTTTGTATTTCATACTGTTTTTGAACTCCAGCGTGATTTATCTCTCAGACAAGCCACCTTTCAAGTGTTTGGTCATTAGGAGTGGCTGGTAGCTAAGGAATTGGGTATCACAGCTTTGGACAGCCAGCCCTTAAGTAGCTGGTCGTATCAAAAGAGGTTCTGCTGAAAATACACATGATCCTCATCCCAAGGCTTCCGAGCCTGGTGGGGTCCATGTCCATGAACAGGGAAGTCTTACTGCACATGGGGAGACCTAGTAATCATTTACTCACGTGGAAGCTCTGAGCCTGTCTGTACCATCATAAGTGAATCCAAGGGAGTGTATGGTGAATCCAGGAAGGCTTGCCAAAGGCAGTGGCTCTGACCTGTGAGGTGGTTCAGTTGTGGGGAGGAGGAAGAACAGGGCTCAGGCTCGGAGGTAGGATGCTCCAGGCCCCTCCAGGATACCCCCTGAATTTGCAGGTGCCCTGACAATGATGGTCACTCCCACCCCTCACCCCACAGTGCCACTCCACGGGCAGTCCCCTCTGGTGACGGGTGAACGTGTGGCCACCAGCATGCGGACAGTGGGCAAGCTCCCGCGGCACCGGCCCCTGAGCCGCACTCAGTCGTCCCCACTGCCCCAGAGCCCGCAGGCCCTGCAGCAGCTGGTCATGCAGCAGCAGCACCAGCAGTTCCTGGAGAAGCAGAAGCAGCAGCAGCTGCAGCTGGGCAAGGTGTGCAGGGCAGCCGGGTGGGGGCGGGGGCTGTGGGCGGGGCTCAGACCCAGGCCACTCACTAGGCAGCTGCCAGAGGAACTTCCTCGCCTTTTTCTAATTTGCCCAGAAGCTGGGGAGAAGGGAGGAAGGGTAGACCCTCCTGAGCGTACGGCTGGGTGGCTGCCTCTCCTACAGCTGACTGCCTCCTTGCTCTGCTCCCAGATCCTCACCAAGACGGGGGAGTTGCCACGGCAGCCCACTACGCACCCCGAGGAGACGGAGGAGGAGCTGACTGAGCACCAGGAGGCCTTGCTAGGGGAGGGAGCCCTGACCATACCCCGAGAAGGCTCCACGGAGAGTGAGAGTACACAGGAGGACCTGGAGGAGGAGGAGGAGGAGGAGGAGGAAGAGGAGGAGGAGGAGGAAGAGGAGGAGGACTGCATCCAGGTCAAGGACGAGGAGGGCGAGAGTGGCACTGAGGAGGGGCCCGACTTGGAGGCGTCCAGTGCTGGTTACAAAAAGGTGCCCCTCCTCCCGAGCCCTCGCTCCCCACTCTCTTTCTTCCTTGCTCCTTTCTGCCTTTGCATTTCCTTCTCCCGTGATGCAGGGGCAGCTTTCTGTAGAGACCGGCGGCTGTGAGGGTGGGAGCTGCTTGTGTTGGTTCCAGAGCTGTTTGTGCCCCAGTCTGCCAGCCCCTCCTTGCAGCCGTGACTGCCCCCATCTGTCTGCCTGCCTCTGTGTGCATGTACCTCGTAGCCTGTATCTGCATTTCTGCCTGCGTAGGGCCGGTTGTGCGTCGGTCCCTGCGTGCTTGTGTGCGTGCTTACCCCCCCACTGTTACTACAGTCTGCCCTGTGCCTACCACGCACTCCATTCACCATTCATCACGGACACCTCTGAGCCCTCCCGGCCTGACTCATCCTGCCCCCTCCCACGCCTCCTCCCTCCCAGCCTCTTGCCTCAGTGCTACTCTGGCATGACTCATCAAGGCCCCCTTCCCTCCCCGTCTCCTCCAGATGGAATTGGGAAAGCTGGAGTGTCTCTGGTCTCTGGAGGGCGAAGGAGATGGGTGAAGGAGGAGGTTTGGAAGAGAAGGGCTGGATTAGGGCCCCTCTGGATGTCCTGGGACACCTGTCCTCACTTCCATCTCAGGCTGAGCCTCACCCAGGCTCCCTCCCACTCTCTTTTCCAGATATTTTCAGAAGCCCAGCAGCTACAGCCACTGCAGGTGTACCAGGCACCCCTTAGCTTGGCCACTGTACCCCACCAGGCCCTGAGCCGTACCCAGTCCTCACCTGCTTCTGCTGGGAGCATGAAGAGCCCCCCAGACCAGCCCACCAAACACCTCTTCACCACAGGTGAGCCCCTCCCCCCAACAGCTGCCCTTGCAGCAGCGCCAGGGGCCCTGTGCATGGCCTGCAGCCTGTTGGCATCATAAAGAGTATAGCCCCTGCTCTGAAGGGACTGCCAGGGCCCCTTGAGCACTGCAGGGAGGGAAGACAGGTTTGCCTGTTCTCTGTGTCCCAGAGCCACCTGTGGTGGTGGTGGGTGCTTCTGTCCTGCTGGGAGGGTAGTGAGTGCCCCATCTCTACCCCCCGGGGCAGCATCTTTTTTGGGTCCCCTCCCCCAACCACTGAGGGACCACCTTCTTTTGGGCCATCAACACACAAGCCCAGGAGCCCTCGGTAGAGTACATTGTCTCAGGTGGGTCCTGCCCCTTCCAGCTTCCCCTCTTGCTTCCTTTGAGGTCAAAAGCGAGCCCTCAGTCAATTCTAGAAAGCTCTCCTGCATGGAGCTGCCTTCTGTGAGGCTCTGAGGGGGCACAGATGCCTGATGATGGTCCTGTCTCACCAGTGAGGTGTGGGACAGTGACAGGAGGGAGGAAGGGAGGGTGTGCCATGCGAGGGATATAGTGTTGGGGGCATGGTGCGCAAAGATCAAAACCAGTGTTGGTGTCAAGGACAGCCTGGTTGAGGTGGCTTTTGACAGGTAGTAATAGAAAGGAACTGCAGGAGAAAGAAGAGGGATAGGTGTGGCACAAGGTGGCTGGGATAGCCATGAGGAGGTGCCTTGGCCAGGATAGGTCAGGGAGAGCTCAAGTGATCTCTGCTGGGGATTGTGGAAGCCAAGCTATGACAGGGCGCAAAGCAGTGCTGGCTGATGGAGGTATCTCTGGCCAGGTGTGGTCTATGACACGTTCATGCTGAAGCACCAGTGCATGTGCGGGAATACACACGTGCACCCCGAGCACGCTGGCCGGATCCAGAGCATCTGGTCTAGGCTGCAGGAGACAGGCCTGCTTAGCAAGTGTGAGGTAAGAGAGCCCCTCCTTCCAGCCCCCAACTCAAACCCAGTAAAAGCCTTTCTGGCTCCCCTGTGAGTGAAAGCCTCTCTCCATGTTTCTTCCTCATCCTCCCTTCAACCCCTGACCTCAGGGCCAGTCCCTGCAGCCTAATTCCCCCAGTGATCCCCAGCTGAATGGGGTAGGGTCCTGACTGGGGGGCCCGGGGGGCCAGGGCGTACCTTCTCAAAACCACTCTCTTGAAGCCAGAAAGTGGTTCCATGTACCCTAGGCTATGGGGTAGAGAAGGGGTCTGGGCATCAAGGAGAGCCAGGCTTTCAGTGCTGTCCCTCCCTCACTGGCCTCTCCTGCTCTCCCTGGCAGCGGATCCGGGGTCGCAAAGCCACGCTGGATGAGATCCAAACGGTGCACTCTGAATACCACACCCTACTCTATGGGACCAGCCCCCTCAACCGGCAGAAGCTGGACAGCAAGAAGCTGCTTGGTGAGTCAGTAAGCCAGTGGGTAGGATATGGGCAGCTTCCCTCGTGGGGTAGAGGGCTGTTGGGAAGACCGCCCAGCTAGGGCAGGCAAGTGGCTCCTGGGGGACAGAGGTCATCCTCTTGGCAGAGGTGGCATGGTTGCCACACTGCCCACGCCCAGGGGTGCCATTCCCACAGAACACAGTATGAACAGAGCTGCTGGGGGGATGCTGGCAGGGGGTGGAAGGTGATGGGTCAGGCCTGATGACGGGGACAGTGCTTTGCTCTTCTCCTTAACCAGTCCTAACCCTCTCTCCCTGCCGTCTGCTCCAGAAATAAGATGTTCCTCCAGAACAGGGGACAGACATCTCCCAACTGCTGTGGGCTGCAGAGGCCTGTTCTCTGCTTAGGTCTAGCCTTCTTTTTCTGTGACTGCTCACTGCCCTCTTCAGACCCCAGCCTGTAGCCCTGCAGTTGAGGCAACTTCCAGAGTAGCTCTGTCCCTCTTCCCTGCAGGCCCCATCAGCCAGAAGATGTACGCCATGCTGCCTTGTGGGGGCATTGGGGTGAGTGGGGCACTTGCCAGTGATGGGTGGGTGGCTCTCCCAGCTCTGGCCCTCCCTTCTCACCCACCTGCCGGCCTGCTGTCCAGGTGCCCACCTCCCTTCTTGCCCTCCCCCTACAGGGGGCACGCTGAAGCCTGCTCTCCTGCCCCTGCAGGTGGACAGTGACACTGTGTGGAACGAGATGCACTCCTCCAGTGCCGTGCGCATGGCAGTGGGCTGCCTGGTGGAGCTGGCTTTCAAGGTGGCATCAGGAGAGCTCAAGGTGAGTAGGGGAGGAGGGATGGCACTGCCTGGCTTGGTCCTGCATCCTCAAGAGCAGAGGATGGGGCAGCCTTGGCTTCCCCTTCAGCAAGGCTGTGTCCTTGGTAGCCTCAGCTCTCAGGTGCCAGGAAGGGGAGGAGGAGACAGCTCCAGGGCCAGCTTGGTGGGTGAGAGATAAAGAGGGGCTGACAAAGAGGCATTAGTGTCTGGTGCTTTCTCATGGGTATCTTGGGACCAGAGATGGTGTCCATCTGCTCATGTGGCCTGTGGTTGGCATTCCTAAAAATGTGTGGGATACTTACTTCTGATCTGTGTTTTCTTACCGGCCTGCCTTATGCTTCTCTCCTGCTGTATGTCCACCCCCTCCGTGGCCACCTTGCTTGCCTGTCTGTCTCTTGTCTCTGTCCCTATGCACCTCTTCAGAATGGATTTGCCATCATCCGGCCCCCAGGACACCATGCAGAGGAATCCACAGCCATGTGAGTGCCACCCCAGCCTGGCACTAGACCTGCTGCCCTTGCCTTCTCCCTCTCAGCTGAGCTGATTTGAGTATCTTTTGCTCATGGTGCGAATACTCACTGAAGCTGACCTCCCTGCTTTTTTCTCCCCTCCCCCCAGGGGATTCTGCTTCTTCAACTCTGTAGCCATCACAACCAAACTTCTGCAGCAGAAGCTGAATGTGGGCAAGGTTCTCATCGTGGACTGGGTAGGCAGCGGGCTGGTAGTGCTGGGGTCAGCCTTCAGGAAGGCTCCAGCTCAGCCTCGCTCCTGCTTTCTCAGGTGCCTGTGCTGAAGCTGTGCCTGCTCAGCTTACATCCTGCTGAAGTATTAGCTAAGCCCTCACATATCCACGGGGCTCCCGCCACACGAGGAGAGACTCAAAAGTGGTTTTAGCCCCTGGTCCATCTTGGCCCCCTCCTTGCAGCCTCAAGCAACCAGGGAGATTTTCTACCTTGAACAGTAGAGACTGCTACCACCATTGCTAGAGCCACTTTCAAAGGGGGCTGTGTGCCAGGACACATGGTACCACTCACGGCCACCTCGAGTAGTAAGAATTAGGATGTCCATTTCTGTAAATGAAGACACTAGCTGTTGGGTAATGTACCCAACGAAGGTCACTCAGTTTGGGGTGTTGGCGCTGGACTTTAGGTCAGGTCTTAGGCCCTGAAACTTCTCTTGCTACTGCACAGTGCTTCTCAAAACCTGCCCCTCATGGCCGAGGGAAGGAAGGGCATGCACCACCCGTGAGCTGGGGAAGTAGCCAGGAGGATGGAATCTTTCTGAAGCCCAGTTTTGGCTTGAAAATTCACATAAATGTTGGGGGTTTCTTTAGAATGTATCTCTTTGCTTTTAATTCCTTACTAGCCTCAGTATTTCCCTCCCCACTATTGGTAGAATGGGCCTTGCAGGGAGATCCGCCATGTTCGTCCCATGGCTTTGTAGCTCATCTGTGCAGTGCCGCGACCTGGCCTGCAGACGCTGGTTAGAGAAGTGAGGGGCGATACTATTGTGAACAGAACCAAGATGCCCTGTAGCTAGTGGTGGGCTGCACCCTCAGAGCTCACCATCTGGTGGGGAGGGGGAAAAGGTAGAATTTGGACCTTTGGGCCAGAGCCTGGGCCTTTATCCTGATGCTTCCACCCCTCCCTACCAGGACATTCATCATGGCAATGGCACCCAGCAAGCGTTCTACAGTGACCCTTCCGTACTCTACATCTCCCTGCATCGCTATGACAACGGGAACTTCTTTCCAGGCTCTGGAGCTCCTGAGGAGGTACAGCTCCCAGGCTCAAATGTGGGGCCCCTTGGGGAGGTAGTAGAATTGGACCTAGCAGGGAGCCATGGAAGCCCAGGGTGGCGCTGGTACGGGGGAGACTAGGCTCCTAATGGGAGGCCAGCCCATTGCCTCTCCGTGCAGAACAGAGGTTAGTGGAATGAGGGCTGGAGGCAGGGCTGAGGGCAGGGGCAGTGGCTGGATCCCCAGGCAGTGAGAATAACTCCTCCCTGCCATGCTGCCAGGTTGGCGGAGGGCCGGGCGTGGGGTACAATGTGAACGTGGCATGGACGGGAGGTGTGGACCCCCCCATCGGAGACGTGGAGTACCTAACGGCCTTCAGGTGGGGACTGAGAAGGGCCAAGGGAGGTGTGGGAGCCCCTGACCTGGGTCCTGCTGTGGGAGGGGCAGAAGGCAGCCAGTGTGGTGTGGGTGGGGGTGTCATCTCTAGGGGAGACACAGCATAGGGTGACCCTGGCATCGCCACCTGCCAGGGTCAGCGTGGGCCCTCTCTTTGCAGGACAGTAGTGATGCCCATTGCCCGGGAGTTCTCACCTGATGTGGTCCTGGTCTCTGCTGGGTTTGATGCTGTTGAGGGACACCTGTCTCCACTGGGTGGCTACTCTGTCACCGCCAGATGTGAGCCTGCTGGGGGACTGAGGGAGGCCCTGAAGCAGGAAGCATAGGTTGGGTGGGGGTATACAGAAAGAGTAAATTAATACTGCAGGGGCTGGGAAGAGGAGAGCTGGGGGCAGATCCAAGACTTAGAATCATTTGGCAGGACCCCCAGCTCGCAGTCTGCCAGCCCTGGCCTTGAGGGGCAAGCAGATGGGGGTGGGGTAGCAGAGGGTGTATCTCCTCCTGGAGTTGTAGGGATGGAGCTTGTTGATCTCTCATTTCAGTGATGCTCCTTAGAAGACATGGTATTGGATTGTTTTAGTCCATCTGTCCTGTTTTGTCTTTAATGGAGCTATTAGTCCATTAGCAATGAATTTGATCATGGATCTATATTTGAGCTTAAATCTACCATCTTACTTTGTGTTGTCCCAAGTCTTGTGTTTCTTTTTCTCTCCTTTCTTACCTTGATTTTTGTTTTAAACCATTTCATCTTCCTTCACCCATCCCTAAAGGTTTTGGCCACTTGACCAGGCAGCTCATGACGCTGGCAGGGGGCCGGGTGGTGCTGGCCCTGGAGGGAGGCCATGACTTGACCGCCATCTGTGATGCCTCTGAGGCCTGTGTCTCAGCTCTGCTCAGCGTGGAGGTGAGGTGCGGGGAGGGGCTGGGGAAGGTGGGCCAGTAGGCCAGGGAATGTGAGGGGCCAGCAAGGGAGGGCCCCCTCCCTGGGTCAAGTACCATTGAGGGCCCTTGGGAAGGTTTTCATGGGGTGTAAGGACAGCAGGTATCCAGGGAGGGCTTTCTGCACAGGGGTTTCTCCAGGAAAGCTTTGCTTGCCCCTATCATGAGAGATGTCGGGGGCTGAATGGGGTGTTTAAAGGGGGAGGCACTGCCACCTGCTCTTCACCCTAAGCCTTCTCTTCTCTCCCCTGCCAGCTGCAGCCCTTGGATGAGGCAGTCTTGCAACAAAAACCCAACATCAATGCAGTGGCCACGCTAGAGAAAGTCATCGAGATCCAGAGTACGTGGGGCAGGCAAGAGGGGCTCAGACCTCCGTCTGCCAAGGAGGCGGAGCTCACAGGCATACCAAGGCTGGGGATGTATACATGGGGATTTCTGTGACCCCTGCCTGCCCCCTGTCCTCAGGCAAACACTGGAGCTGTGTGCTGAGGTTTGCTGCTGGTCTGGGACGTTCCCTGCGGGAGGCCCAGGCAGGGGAAACAGAGGAGGCTGAGACTGTGAGTGCTATGGCCTTGCTGTCGGTGGGGGCCGAGCAGGCCCAGGCTGCTGCAGCCAGGGAGCATGGCCCCAGGTAAGGACTCTTCCCTACCCCTCGCCCTTGTCCAGGCTGGTGCCCCCACCTCAATGCCCCTCCCTGTCCTTGTTCCCACAGGCCGGCAGAGGAGCCCATGGAGCAGGAACCCACCCTGTGACGCCCTGGCCCCATCCCTCTGGGCTTCATCATTGTGATTTTGTTTATTTTTTCTATTAAAAGCAAAAAGTCACACATTCAACAGCGTGTGCCGTGTGGGTCTCTCAGCCCCGCCCCTCCTGCTCCTCTAAGCCACCCACCCTGTGACCTACATCTCAGCTCTAGGTTTGCTCCCTCTGTAGGCACAGGGGTGCCCTTTCCAGCACCCCCCTACCCCATGTTGTATCCCACACCCACTTTCCCAAATTCTGTCCTTTTCCCCCGGGAGCCTGGGCCAGCTCAAGGTAGGCAGGGGGTCGAGAGAGTACCTTCCAGTCCTGGGGTCCCCCTGAGTGAGAAGGGAGTAGTCAGTTCGGTGCCTTGGCTTCAGCTGACTTTGGGGGACATGCCTTAATTTCGCCCTCGTCCTGTCTCTAGCCACAGGGGAGGATGGAGGGCCCCTCTGCAGTCTAAGATGCAGTGTGGAGGGGCGGTGGGCTCCCGGCTGTGAGTTCCCGTCCTTTCCTTCTGTTGTACCCACCATCTTTCTCCTGGCCTCGGCACCAGGGGAAGGCTTATGCCCTAGGGTGTGGGCCTGAGGCCTGTGGGCAAGGTGGTCTTGCCTCCTACTCCTCAGGGTTTATTTCCCTTTCCCAGAGGCTACAGAGGGTCAAAGTGTGTGGGGAGACAGGGCTGGACCCCTGGGTTCTGAGGAGCCAGGAGAAACTGCAGAACCAGGCCTGCTCCCACCCTACTCTGTTGGCCGCCCTGCTCTGCAGACACAGCGTGGGGAAGGGGAGAAGGTGGTCACTGCAGGGAGGGCTCCAGGCTGGTGGGAGCCCCCCAGCTGTTCAGGACGATTTCCCCAACCATCCAGCATGCTGCAAGTAGAAGGGTCAGTGGCCCACCTCCCTCCTTGCTTTCTTTAGAAGACGGGATGGTGAGAGTCGGTGTTTCTGACGGCACAGCCAGAACCCAGGAACCCAGGAGTTTGCCCTCAGCTGTAGCTTCCCTTCCTCCTGGGCTTTTTTGCTGGCTACAGCCCAAGGGAGGTAAGCCCAGGATAGGGCTGGACGCTTCCCTGTGTCTTTCCCAGGAGTCCAGCCTAGCCCTCCAGTTCCGGGGCTTCTAGGGAATGCTGTCCAGCCTAAAGGGAACCAAAGATAGGAAGCAGCCCGTCGGGGGAAGTCTTCCTACTCCTTCCCCGTATCACACATACTTACTTTCCTCCTGTCCCCAGAGCCCTGGCAATCTGTTTACATATTTATTATCCTAAAGGGGGCCTGAGCAGGGTTGAGGGAGCAAGGGGAGGGGCAGGAGTCCCACCACTGATTCATCGTGCACTTGGGTCTTGTGTGCTGTTAGTGCACTCTAGAACCTCCTGGGGGATGGCGATGGGGCTGGGCCCAGTGTCCCAGGCCTCCCTGGGCTGAGCCCCAGCTCCAGGCCCCTAGTCCTCCCTCTCCCTGTGGCTGGGCTGGTTCTCATGCAAACCCATTCCTTGCTTTGTCTCCCCAAATATGGATTTTAGTTAAGTATTTTGTAACCCACTACACTGTGTGTCCTTGTGCAAATAAACTTGTTTCTGATAGTGCCTTCTGGGGCCAATGTCTCTGTCTCTGAGAAATGGAGTAGAGTTTCTTATACCCACTCCTGGCCAAAAAATGGCTTTTCTCCAGCCCTTGGGCAAGCCAATTTAGGAAACAGGAGGCTGGGGTGGGAGGAAGAGGTATCTATGTCCTGTAGGTTAAAGACGAAGTTTCCTGAATGTAACAAATTCCGCGGGATGTCTTGTGTGGCCTAGCCGGTGATGGGGAAGCGGTGCAGGGCTGAAGGTCTCAACTGCGTTTACAGCCCTCCCCTTCCCTTTTGACTCTGCCTTTGTGGAAAGAGGGTTGGAGCGGGTACAGCACAGGCAGCCTGACAAGGGTTCCGCTTGCACACAAGAGGCAGGTTCAGTGGACGTGTGCACAGGCAAGAGAGGAATCCGAAAGTGTCGAAGGGCTTTATTGGGGCCACTCCGAGCCCCTCACAGTACTGCGGGAACCCACTGGTCTTGATGCCTTTGCACCTTTGGGGACTTGGGTGGGAAGGCAGGAAGAGGACCAGCCTTTCTGGGAGAGAGAAGGCCCTTCTTTGGGGCTAAGGTCAGGTGGAGGGGAGACATAAGAAATTCAAGATGAGGGCCTGCTCTGGGCTGGAAGGGGATGGGGCTGCCTCGTGGAGAGTGGAGGTCACCAAGTGTTGGCTTTGGGGGAGGTAAAGTGACACTTGAAGTCAGGAAGAGCGGATGGGTGGTGCTTCCTGGGCACTGAACATGTGCACCACCCAGGGCACGAGGGTGAGGACCAGGCATGGCCAGAGGGTGTACTTGAGGAAATTGAAGATGTAGAAAAGGCTGATCTGAGGCGGGTAGCCCATCCAGTCCAGGGGGCCCAGCAGCCCCATAGCCAGTACAAGGCAGGCTATCTTCTGGCCAGTTCCCAGATAGGCCCGCCGTACCTGGGCATAGCAGGGAGAGTGCAGCGCAATGCCCAGACCCAAGGCGGCCCCAGAGTCGCGGCTCAGGGAGGCAAAGGGCCGGCTGTCCACATGCACCCACTCCGGCCGCTCACACCACTTGGAGGCTAGGCTTATGGACCTGTGGGGAGGAAAAGAGACATTTGTCAGGAGAGAAAGTCTCTGGAACCTAGAGGGCCAATGGCTCTCATCCCTTTTGGTGCCTACTCCCATGTTCTGCTGTGACCCCAGGAGACTATGTTTGTGAACAGTAATGTATCCCTTTACAGCTATAACAAACCAGAGACCCACAGGCTAGGTACAGGTGAGCCAAGAACAGGACCCAGCCGCCCAAGCTTCAAAGCAGGACTTACCAAGAAAGATCCAGGCCTAGTGTAAAGAGAGTCCAATAGATGAGACTGGCGCCCAGTAAGAGGGCCAATGAGGTTAGTCCGTAGAAGCTTAGCTCCCGCTCCATGGGCACCTGGGGGGCCATCAGCCAGCCCAGGATAGCACCTAGGGAAGTGGGGTGACAGCAGCTTCAAGGAGTTTGGGGATGTGACCCCCAGAGCTATACTGCAGCTTAGGATAAGAGATGGAGACATAAGGGGTGGGGGCCTTGGGGTTGGCTGTACAGTGGGAAGATCCTACACTGGTCCTCCCGCTGCCAATAGCACCCTCTGGGCCCACCCTGTTCCCCCAGTTGCTCACCAGTTATTAAGCCAGCCAACACCTGGTGAGGGAAATGTGCTAAGAGAAAAACCCGGGACAGGCCGACCGCCAGTAGGAAGGTGCAGTAAGTCAGGCTAGGTATCACCCTCACCCAGCGGCTACAAAGGAGAGAGGCAAGTGGTTCAGGGGATGTCCATATGCAGCTTGGTGTCCCTAGCACCCAGGCATTTCATGGTTGGATCAAACGCCCCCAGAACTCCAGCTCCCAGGCTGCCCTGCTGCTGGGTCTTTTGGATCCAGCATACAATCACCCCTGCCCCATTGGTGGGCAATGCCAAGATGTACCTGTGGGCCCGACTCGCCACCTGGGAAGAGATGGCTGTCATTATGGGCCAGAGGGCTGCTCCTGTGATCATGCAGTGTCCAGAAGGGCTGCCTGCCAGGGAAGCCAGAAGCTTGTGGTGAGATGATGGGAGTGGACCCCAGGTGCCCCTAGTGATAGCTCAACACAGTTGTCTTCCCCTGGTTGAGAAGAGAGCCTTCCCCGAGTGCTGGTCCAGAGTTCCCTCTGCCCTGAAGGCTTCTTCACCCCGGCCTGAGGCCACTGCCCTCAGGCTTCTGCCTTCACCTCTGGCTTTACTCTAAACAAGGTGGGCCGCTGGCATATTGACATGAATGCTCTCCTCCCAGAATTCAACTCAATCTTCTTGGGGTTTCTTTGTTCCCTGGGTCAATAAAGAATGGAGAGGCTGGGCTTCTGGTTAGTCCACCCCGGCGGAAAAGTACTCTGAAACACTGTGCCCCAAGCATGCTGGGAAAGGGAGGTGTGAAGTTTCTCACCCGGACCAGTTTCACAGGAAGAGGGGAACTGGTGAACCTGGGCTGGGGCCTGGCTGTAGTACCCAGACTCATGGACCCACCAAAAAGGCCTGTCTCCAAACAGAAACCTGGAAGAGAAGAGACGTGAGATGACATGTGCTTGCACATACAGTAAGGGGGACAGGAGGTGGGCAGAAGGGACACCTGGTAGTACTGTGCAGGGCCTATGGTGTGGAGTCAGGGAATCCAGTTCTGTGCCATTACCTTTCCATATCCCCCCACCCCAGGAACAGGAGAAAGCACACTATTTTTTAAAAAGTGATAAGTAGGCAAGAGATTGGTGAGTGGCGTGTGTGTGTGCATGAGCTGAGAAGTCCCACTCTTAGACCTCCTACTGCAGGGCTAGCTGTCTTATCATCTGCAAAGAGCCTAGGACCTTGCTCTTTCTCTCCCTCCCTCCCTCTCTCCCAGACCCTCACTGACCCTCCTGCTTTCCTCCCTTCTCCATTTCCCAAATTCCAGCCTGAATTACTCACATCTGAATTACTTAGATAAGCCTCTCATGTTTGAAAATGGGATTGAGAAATGGACAGGAGAGGCTGAGAAAGAATAAGGAGGACAAAAAGTTCAAAGTCCCCTGGCTTAGTAGGTGCTTTGATAGACCCTGGGAAACCACACACTGAAGATGCTGCAATGGCCTGAAACAGAAAAGGTGCAAGAGCAGAGGAGATGCTGGCTGGGAAGTCAAGCACTGGGAGAGAGGTACAGAAGGGACTTGCCCTTCCCCACCAGAAGTGGAGCCTGGTTCACACACCAGGTGCTCAATACATACTTAGGAAATGCAGGGCTTTGTCATGTGGTGGGGCATTAAGGGTGTCTACCTAGGGGTGATCTAACCTCTTAGGGGAACAGTGGAGAGGGAGGATTATGCAGACCCTGCAGGAAGAGAAAGCACAAAGCAAAGGGCAATTAGGCAAGAAGGAATGATTAGACAACTACTTTTCCGGTTACAGTGGGGATGAAGCCCTTGCAGAGAAGAGTGGAAGGAAAGGTAACTCATATTTTTCATCAAGTCATTCCTGCCCCTTCAGGTGTCTCCAATGAAGCTTCCTTCTCTCCCGCAGGCTGGGGATCTGGCAATAGAGACTGAGGTGATGGGAGGTGCAGCTGTATGCCCAGCAGGAGGCATAGCTACTCTCTTCCTCAACCCAAGAGAAAAAGGTGGCAGAAAGAGATAAGGCCCAAAGGCCCCCACCCACTTGCCTGGGATTCCTGGCTTCTAGGTCTGTGTGAAAAGCCTACCAGTGAATGAAAGAGGAAAGGAAGAAGAGAAAGTGTTCCTTGGAAGGCAATGCTTCAGCCTAATGCTTTTCAAACTTACTGTGCACATGAATTATCAGGGGGGCCCTTGTTAAAATGTAGATTCTGATTCAGTAGTTCAGGCCTGGGGCTGAGATTATGAATTTCTAGCAAGGTTTTAAGTGCTTTCTATGCTGCTGGTCATGGGTCTGGGACCACATATGCAAGCGTTCTCTGTCCTCGGCAGCTAGTGTGAAGCCCGGCACAAAGCATGCTTCTTAAAAACTATGCTAAATAAATAAATGAATGGATAAATCAAAGAGTTGAGAAGCTCCACTTTCTGCTATTTATGTCACCATTGATGCTTGTTAAAATACAGATTCCCAGCCCCTCCCCTAGAATTTCTAAATCAGTATGTCTGAGGTGGGATGGAATATGTGCACTTTAAACACGCCCCTTGGTGATTTCTCTCATCAGGCCTATTTAATAAACACTGGTCTAAAGAGTAGGATGGGGACTGAGGTCTGAGTCCGAGATACACAAAGTCGCTCAAAGATGAACAGTCAAGGGCCGCGGGGTGGGGAGGTTTTAAGGCCATGGATTCACTAGGGCGGGTAATGGGGGGGAGATTTCAGGCCTTTGAGGCACCTGCTGAGAGATAAGGGCTTGTCCAGGCCTCGGGGCCCTTGGGGGTGGGGGACCAGGACGCCGAGGACTTCGCTGTCTCACCACTTGAAGATGAGGTTGAGCCACTCGGTGATGAGGCTGATCCAAAGCACCGCGATGCCCACACGGCGAGAGGCGTAGTAGGCCGCGGGGAAGTAGAACAGAAAGAGGCTCTTGGGATCGCCCAGAAAGGTGACCCAAAGCCACACATTCTCCAACCAGGGCAGCTGGTTCTGCAGAGCCTCGGCCATAGCGATGCCCGCGCCTAGCGCGGACTCCATGGCGACCGAGCGGTCAGCCGGGCCGGGGTTTGCTCTAGGGCGGAAGCCAAGGAGCCCAGGCGACAAGAAAGCCTCTACCCACTGTCCTCCAAAGCCCACTCTTCGGAGCCCCAGATCCCACCCCCAACTAGCGGCTGATGCAAGCCCCGCCCCTTTCCACGCCTCCGGCAGTCCTAGGCTCGCGCGAGCCAGGTGTCCTGCGGGCACCGTTTCCTACAGCGTTGTTCTCGGGACCGCCTCTCTACTGGGCAGCACAGGGGACAAACCTTTGCGAAGGCGTTTCCGCAGAGTCCCACGTGGCCGCTGTTACCGGCACGTGGGCATCCGGCGTAGAGGCGGCTCCAGCTACTGTTCCGGGTCAAGGGATTGAGTAACCAACCCTGTGGGTCGGCGGCGCGCTCAGGTTCTTGCTTTGCTGCTGTGAAGGTGGTTGTGTGATCTCCAGGACTAGGAATCTTTTAACAGACCAGATCTCTCTTCTCCAGTACAGATATCCTCCAAAAATATTCTGAGATCTCATGGACAGATCGCTACGGACACCCTCTCCTCCGGGGAGTCAGGCATTCCCCATCGGCGTTGAGAAGCGACCCTAAATTTGCACGCACCACTAATCAGTCGGTGCCTTCTTTTCCTTCCCCAGCTCAAGACTTCCGCCCGAATTCATCCGCTAATGATTTGAAGGCTGACAGATAAGCCTCTTAATTTTGAGTCTTTCCTAAATACTTGTTAATTTCTACTCATAGTACAGACCAAGTCACACTTCCTCCTAGTGTTCAAAGCTTGCTTTGCCCCTTTCCTTTCTCTAGTCTTCCAAAACCCTGCGGGCAGGTAAACCCTGAGATTGCTACTGGGTTGGTATGGCAAGAGGAGGGGCACACACCCACGACAAAATCTGGAATAATTCTCTGGAGGAACAGACACCGAAAATAGAAATCTCAGCTAGGCGAGGTCATGCCTAGAGGCAAAGTGGGGGTAGGAGGAGACTTGAAGCTCCTGGATTCCTTCTTACCTCAAGCAACTTTGTTCTTGGAGAGTTTTCTGATGGGTGGATGAAAATGAGAATATAAATTTGGGTTCTTGGAAAGAGATTAATTTCACTAATTAAAAATGTGTGGGGCAGGGAAACTGGATATAAATCTAATTTCACTCACTCCCTTGCTAAATGTTTTTGATGCCCCGCGGAGAAAAGCTACATTTTCTGTCTTTGAAAGTTTACTCAGCTCTAGCCAGACAACCTATCCTCACACTCCGTTTCATAATATTTCGGAGCTACTTTACGTTCCTTGAAATCGCAGAGTCTCTCTTAGGGGTCCTGGCATATATAGTCTTTCGGGTCTCAAGATTTTTCACTTCGTCCAGGAAGTCTTTCCTAACAATGCCTGGCAGTCATATATGAAAACCTGTAATCACTATGCAGTATAAAACGTGGAGTGGCAGTTACATTATGACTTGATATGGGGGCCAGACATGAAAATTATTTGAAAAAAAAAAAGTATGAGGGAGCAGTATGTTTATTCTAACAATGATTTTACTAATATATGGCTAACATTGTTAGTTGATATTTCTTGCAGGGCACGGAAACACTTGAACTTTCTTCAGGTTAAGTAGGCTAGGGCTGGCCTTTTTTTACTTCCTTCCCTCTGGACTAGGGAAAGTTCAATCCGTTTTTACTCATACAAGAGGTTTCAGAATTTCTATACTCGGGTGGGTAGGGGAGGGGATGTGGGTAAAATTGTAACATTTCCAGATTATCTCGCCTGGCTTTAGTACATTTGCATATCCTCAGGAGTGGAGAGAAGTTCATCTTCATGCCAACGGGGAAATTACCTGGGCAACCGAGGGCGTGTCTAAACCCGAGAGTTTAAGAGGAGGGGCTGGCAGACTTGCTTGCTTGCTTATACGGGAGCAGAGGAGAGAGAGACGGAGTTGGACTGCAGTTTGTAAGCAATAAACGGGTTTTAAACTTTATTTCTCCCTTTGACTGATTTCGGTTTTTAGAGGCATTTTTCCCCGGGATTTTCTTTTCCTGGACTTACAGTGGGTTAGGAAGGACAGTCAGTGATTGTGGGTGGGTGTAGGGCTTGAAAATCCATCTTCATAGTACTCACATATTAAGAAAACTTGTTTTGTATATCTGATGGATTAAATGGAGGGCCTAAAACTCCTGCCCCAAGGCCCCCTTTTGTCTCTGCCTCTGCTTCTCTCTCCTGTCCTTTGTCTGGCATTCTAGAGGAGAGGGCAAGATGAAAGATGGGGAAGCATCTTGAGTTGCAAAGGTGATGGGTGGTAATGGAAAAAACTATCATTTATTAAAGATTTAATGAGATGCGTACATGCCATGCTTTTGTACACATCTCATTTAATCGCCTAACTAATCTATGAGGTGTTATCTAACACAGTATAGCAGTAACACGGAAACAGACTGAATCCTTTCTAGCTGTGTGATCCTGGACAGGTATAGTCTAAGACTTAGTTTCTTTATCTGTAAAAGGAGTATATTGACTCCTACCTTTAAGGGTTATTGGATGCTCAATATGTGATAATACATAAGGAATAAAGAAACAGGATCAGCTTTAATAATTTGCTCAAGGTTGTATGACTTAGTGGCAAACCTGGTATTCTGATTGCGGCTTAGCTCATTCTACAACCAATGTTCTTTCCACTCCCGCTTTATATTTAGGTATAATCACTTCAAGCAAATTCCCTTAAGTCCTCTGGGCTTCATATTCCTCAAATGTAAAATACAGAGTTCATTCATTAAACCTGTGTCAAGGTGTACACATAGTGGAGACGGAAGCTCCCTCCTTTCCCTTTTCATGCCACGTAGGTCATTTATCTTTAACTTCTACAATGGACCCAGCAACACTTTACCAACCAGGGACAGCTGCACAAACGTAATTATTCAGATTCCCCTTTATTTTCTCTTTCCTCTTCCACCTAGGCTTTCCGCCCCACCCAGCGCCAAACCACGCCCTGGCGTGGGACGTCAGCACGGCCCGTGCGTCGCGTCGCGGCGCTCACTGGGGGCCCGGCTTTTGCCCGCTCCTGCCGCCGCCGCCGCCGGCCGCGGCTGCTCTCCCAAGATGGCGGCTCCTCCGGGCGAGTACTTCAGCGTTGGGAGCCAGGTGTCGTGCCGGACGTGCCAGGAGCAGCGGCTGCAGGGCGAGGTGGTAGCCTTCGACTACCAGTCCAAAATGCTGGCTTTAAGTATCCTTCCCTGCGTGTTGCCCGTGGCCGGGCCGGCGTGTACGTGCGGTGGTGGTGGTGGGGTCGGGGACGACGGCGGCGGCTGGGGCTCTCTCCGGGCCTAGGGGCGACCGGCTGCCGCGGCGCCCGGGGCGCATGCGCACAGCCTTGAGCTCCCCTCCCCCCCTTCGCGGTCCCTCGGTTCGCTCTGTGGACCCTGTCTCCCACCACTGTGGGAGCTGAGCCCCGGGGGAGGGTCGGTGGGTGGAGGGGGACTTGACATGCGGATGGCTCTTGGAGGGGAGGGACCCCTATGGGAGAGGACACTGATTAGGAGAGGGGTGGTCGTGGGAGGGGGGCTGTGGATTGAAGCCCGGATGGAAGGGGAGGCGGGTAAAATGCGGGGAAGAGGGTGTGTAGAGTAAGGAGCTGCCAGTAGGGCAAGGGTATCGAGTTTAGGAGGGGGTGTCTACTGATGGGATTTGATCCGAGGAAGGGCGGTGGGGTGGTGACCAAATGGGCTTCGCCTGTTCTGGGGAGAGTAATTGCAGTACAGAGTTTGTATCTTAACTGGGGATAGGGGCTTGGTTTACTGTTGCGTGTATGCGTGGTGCCGTTGGGGGCGGGGAGTGCTGAATTTCAGGTTTCTCAGTTTGAAAATTTTTGTTGTGGGGATGTTTGCATTGGAAACCTGGTCCAGAGAGGGGACCACGTTTTTCAGAGGCTTATGTGGGGATGTGAAGGTTACAGGTGAAAGAGTAAGTTATTTTGTCTTGCTCAGTGCTGCACATGGAGTCCTTTTCCATAGAAGTGGCCTCCCCTTTTGAAAGTGGCAGTGTTAATCAGAATGGAAAAGTCTGCCTCTTTGGGGTGGAAATGATTTCTAAGTTACTCCAGGAAACTCAATCTTGGAAACAAAATACTCGGTTGTATTAAATGTGCCACCTCTTCCCCTTTTATTTGAGCCACAGGTGGGTTTATTTGTTTTTGTTTTTGTTTTTTTGAGGAGTAATCCTTTATGGCATCTTTCAGAAGGAAGCTTCCTACTGAGTCTGCTGCATTTGAGTGGCAGGTAATTTAATTAATATAACCACTGGTTGTACACTTCTAGCTTATGGGAAGATGTCTTCTGAAACTTACAGCAAGAACGGTTGCTTTTTTAGTGGAAGAATTTTCACCTGGACCAGTAAGACCTTTTACTTTAGTGATTAGTTGGAAGGGTTTTGAAATAAGGACTTACTCTGCTTTTAATTGGCGTACAGTATGCTCTTGATAAAGGGTTGGAGAATGGGTGAGAGTGAATGAATGAAATGAGTAGGTTAACTAGTTGGGTCATTTTGAGTGAACTTCCTTTCTTGTGCTCTAGTGTGGGAAGTCTCAAATTTGAAAAAGTGAAAAGAGCGCTATACAAACATAGGGAGTATTATACCAAGAACAGAAAGTACTGCCTCTCTTTTGTGGTTCATTAGATTCAAGACAAACAGTATACATATGGCATTAAAGCTGCATTATGCCTTTCTGTATTTGGATGGTATTTGGCTTTGAAAAGCTTGAGATCTTTTGGTTATGGGGATGAGCAGGAGGAAGGTGACAGCAGTGATTTCCTGAGGAGAGCTGTGATTCTCATGAGGCTCTCCACTCTTGATCGTGGCACACCTTTTATATGTCTTGAGTGAATTGTGTTTTCCGTAACTCTTTTGAGATGTGTCAGTGTTCTGCTTGCCCCTATTTTCCTTAACTTTATTTTCTCACCAGAATGTCCCTCTTCCAGTGGAAAGCCCAACCATGCAGACATCTTGCTCATAAACTTACAGTATGTTTCAGAAGTGGAAATAATTAATGACCGAACAGAAACCCCGCCTCCCCTAGCTTCACTCAATGTTAGTAAGGTAAGGACTTGAGGGCAGTTTTGGCTCTCCAAAATGGTGGGAAAATTGGGGCTCACTGACTCTTGGTGATACATTGTTCTTCATTAACTTATAATTACTTGTTCTGGTATCTTTTTTAAAAAGATAGCAATTTAGTTTTCCTATTTCTGGATATCTTCAGAAGAGTTTAAGATAATCTCTTAATGCCCAAACAGAGAATTAGAATTGTGGTTTGCTTTTGTCCTTTGTGAAAGAGGCCTTTTTTTTTTGAAACCTGGAGTCCATGCGTGAATTAGTGGTGTTGGTGGAGTTGGGTAGCATTGTTGCTTGTGAACTTCCCGAAATTGTGCATGTGTGCAAACATGACTGTATGTTTCCTGAATAAAGATAGAGTATTTTTCAGATTCTCAGAGGGATTCATGACCTACAAAAATTTGAAAAGCACTGCCTTAGAGTTTCATTTTTTTGTCTTTCTACTTGAATTTCAAGGTCTAACAATGTTTGAAGTTGAGGATATTTTAATCTTGGATGTAAAATTGATCTCAGGGAACTCCCAAATCACTCTTTTGACTCTTTAGTTCTATCGGCCAAGTTCATGTTGATCAGTATATTAATACCCAAGCCCTGTTGTAGCCTTTGCTGTCCCTCTGCTTTGAACACTGTTCCTTCCAGGATGACTGGAGCCTTATCCATCAGGACTTAGTTAAAAGGCATCTCTTCCAAGAAGTGTTCTCTGAGTACCCAATCTAAAGTAATTTGTCCTTATTATGCTTTTGTACAGTTTCTTTCAGAGGTAAGGTCATGTGTAGTTCATCTGGGACATTTTTGAGAGTAAAGGGGGTGCTTTCATTTTATACTGGGACAAGTAAAGATTGGTGTATCCTGGGCATATTGGAACCTGAGATTATCCTATTCATAGCCTTTTTATAATTAAAACTGTCTATCATTTGTTTACTTATCTCACCATACTTTATTTTTTGAGGATGGGACCCATACCTGTTTTGCTCATCACTAATTATATGGATTCTTGCCCAGAGTAGGTGCTTACTACATAATTTGTTGAATGAGTAAGTTAGGTCTTTGATTTTAGTAACAGCTGACTTCTCTTTACATCTCTTGAATTAGTGTGGTGGAAGTTTTTCCCTCTAGAGGAATCTTGTACTGTGTATTCTCTTGCCTCTCTTGGGAATGTGGTGTGTTGGCTACAATTCAGCAAAGTGGGGAAATACTCAGCTGAAACAATAGAGGAGAGGGTAACTGAGGCTAGGAGAATGTAGTTACCTCATATCTAGAACTCCCTTTTTTCCAGATTCCAGTGAAATGCTACTCTTTTTTTAGTAATAGCTGAGGACAGATTCAGAAGGGTCTTGGTTCATATTAAAGGCTGTTTCATACAGAATGCTCCAGTCTTAGAAACCTATAGATTTTTGAAACTGCCTTAGTCAGATACCTCCTGTTAGAGTATAGGAGCTCTTTGGGTGGCCTTCTCTATTATCTGAAGAGATTTAAAAGATTTAAGTGAAATAGTTTATTCCTAGTATGTTGAGGAGAAAAACAGGTCTAAGTTATCCTTAGTGTTTATGGGGTGTGAGAAGTCTGTCACTAAAGTAAAGATAATCTTAAAAGGGGATGATTTTTCTCAAATTTAAAAGCTGCTGAGTTTCTGCTCTTGTGACCAACAAGTGCCACCATTTATCTGAGGGCTTGGAGTGGTATTGGTTGGACTGTTTATTAAGTGGGAGATGTTAAGAAGCATTTTTTGTATATTTGACCTCAAATAAAAATAGTTCTTGGTATTTAGTTTGTGGATTATCTTTGCCTTTAAGGTTTTGCTCTCTGCTGGTCAGTTTCAGTGGTTTATTAGTATTGCTATAAACTGATTGTTTACCCACTCTTTCAAGAAAGGAGCAGGAAGTAATAGTTTGGGGAATACCAGAAATCCTTACTTTTCTTACTTTGTGGCCTGCTGCCGAGTGTTAAAAAGGTTTGCTGGGAAGAGAAGTCAGAAACTAAAAACTGAAATTATCCTGGAGGCCTATCTTTGGATTTCATTTATTTACTCTTCCATTTGAAGAGATGTTTGAGTGAGCTATATTGGCTTTCCCTTGAAACCAACCTTTGAGGATGCTTTGTGATTTCTCCTTGGGTTGCCTTAGAATTAGAAGAGCCTTCTGGGCTGTTATTGAAAACAGCTCATCTCGGCAGCTGTTTACATGTTGCTTGAATGACAAGAAAAGTTCATCTTATTTAAGAGAATGGACTTGGGTGTTCTTTTTTAAGGTGGAAGATTGTTTAAGCATCTTAGAAGGAACTAAGTGCTCTGAGATCCCTGAAGGAAAACTTGGTGCTTGCAGTCTAGGGGAGCTCTACCTGTGTATCCACTTCAGTGGAAGATACCATCACGTGTTGGCTCATCTTTTTGACATACTAAGTGTTGTGTTTAATTAAACCTGTTGATATAAATTGGATATTTGTTTACTCTGACCTGGCAGGAAATGGAAAAGAAGGGCTTTTCAGGGAAATATTTAATTCCAGCCCAACTAGGGAAGGTATGAACTAGCAATTCTTGGAGATGAGCCAGTTTTGCATTTGATTGACAGTTTACTGCAGGCTGAGAAATCCTGTCTCTCCACAGCAGTGGGATGGAAGAGGAAGCTTGGGAGAGGATAGTGGGGTTGCAGAAGGTAGAAGTTTTGAATATCACCTTCTCCACAGTAGCATTATACACTGTTAAAGCATTCCAAATTTCTTGACTTTGAAGACAGATGCCTACAAATAAAAGTACAAAAACACACCAACGACAATCACAAGTGAGGTTCAGATTATTTGCCATGTGGACTGTTCACTCTGTCATGAGGAAGGCTTAAATATTGCTTGAGGATGAGAGCACTAGGATCCACATGGTAAGGTGAAGTAAGGTGTTTCTTAACAGGTTCCTTTGAATCAGCTCTGCATCTTGTTCTCTAGTGATAAAGATTGCCCATAGTACTGCTCTCAGGAGTTGGTTTGGGACAAGTCAGCATTAACAAGGTTCTTTTATAAAGCATTTAACAAATGTTTATTGAAAATCTGTTTGTGCAAGACACGTGATAAGTTCTGCTGGGAATCATCTTAAAGTTTGCTAGTGCTTTACAGTTTACAAAGAGCTTCAACACGTCTCATTTATTCCTTACAATCATGCAGTATGATCTTTAGAATTTATTCTTTTCATTTAACATGAGAAAACAGGCTCATCAGTTTAAGTAACTTGTTCTAGCTTATATAGCTAGTAGTGTGGTAACTAATATTTTTATGTACCATTCTCTGAACCAGCAATCAGTAGACTCACTTAGTCCTGACAAGACATCTTATGGTGTGAGTGCCATCACCATCTTGCAGAATAAACCGAGGCTCAGAGAGGTTGAGGCACTAGCTTAAGGTCATACAACTAGTAAGTGGTAGAGCTGGGATTTGAACTCAGGTCTGATATTTTGACAGCAAAGTCCCATGTCTTTTTTACTTCTGTGTGCTTCGCCCAAGGAGTGTATGTATATAAGAGTAGTTTGGTGAAATGAAATGAGTACTCTTGTATCTATAATCCTAAGTAAAGAGAAACATGGATGTTGTATGGTCAGGGAGCAATGTGGTCTAGTAGAAAAAACATAGGAACCAAGCAGATGAGTCTATAAATTCACTTCTCTGCCCCTTAACCTTACTTAGCTTACATTTCCTCACTGTGAAAATGGGGTGTTAGTACCTATCTAAGAGTTATGAGGATTAGGTCAAGTTGACTAAAGTTGGCAGATGTTAGTTCTGTTCCTTGCATCAGCTATGTATAGCCAACTGGTGTTCCTTGAATTATTGTATAGGGGCAAGATAGGGGAAGGGGGACAGTATGACAGAGAAGGCAGCTAAGAACAATGATGTTATTACTGTGTCAGTCTTTCCTGGCATTGTATCTGACATTGACAAAAGTTGCCATCCCAAGATTGGGGAAAATCAGAATTGTATTGGAGACCATTAACATGTAATACGTCTAATTAGAAGATGTTTTTAGGCAATCTCTTGTTGGTGACCAGAATTAACTTGAATTTCTAGGACAGTGTTACCGGCTGGCATAGTTAACTGAAACACTTGCCTGAGTACTGGAGGTTAGAGTGAGCACTCACAGAAGCTATGAGGCTGTGCTTTCAGCTGCCGAGACTCAGAACTCACTGGCATGGCCAAGGCAAGTTGTATGTATTGTTTAGATAATTGCATCCAGTGCATTAAATGAGCTGTAAGTCTTACCATTTTTCCGAGTTGGAGAAGACTTTCTGGAGGGGATTACCTGTGTATTATGGGGGAGGCAGAAAAAGAGAAAGAATATAGAAAAATAAAATACACAGATTAAGGTGTCCACCTCCCTTACCAAACCACTGATTGATTTGTCAGTCTTTTTTATCTATTTCTTACCCATTTGAACTTTAGTAACAAGCAGCAGGTGATCAAATGGAACCAAAAAGAGACAGTCAAGTAACTTATTCATGGTAATGAAGAATGAGTTGGCTGCCTTTGGATAAAGGAGGTGTTTGGAGTTGAGTGATGGGATAGAGGGGCCTGGTAAGGCTGAGAAAATGGAAGAATCACAAAGTTCACTGTTAGAAGGACCTGACTTTAGTGCCTGCCTTTAGGTATGATGTCACACTGAGGGAAGAATTGACTTGGTTTTTGTTTTGAGTTCTACCAGTTTCAAAGCTAAGATTTAGCACTAATGTTAAGAATTTCTGGTGATTTGAGAGTTAATTCTTAAATGTGAGTGAATTTCTGAGGTAGGAGAGCTACTGCATTGTGGCCTGTGTTCATGGACCTATCCTGTTACCTGGGCTCTTGACTATATCTTGACCCTGATATACTGAGTCATGGAGTTATTTCCAAGTAGAATCAGATTACCTGGCCACCCTGTGTTTAGGTATGTGTATATTGGTAAGAGCTAAGAGGTGTTCATATTAAGTGTAAATGTGGGAAGGGAAATAACTACTTGTCTAGGGAAAGCATACTTT